TCTTTCCATATCTGCCACATCAAGCACTGACAAAAAGCATTCCTTGCAAATATATGAAAAATGATTTATGAAACAGGAGTACTGGGGAAAAGGAAAAAAAAAAGAATGAAGCCTACAAACTGAAGGAAAGACACTGGCATGTCTTAAAAAGTGTTAATACTGTGAGCTAAAATAATATTGCAATTAGCATAGAACTTAGATTCTGTGCACGTAAGAATTGATACAGCAACCTGCTAATTGAAAACAATGCCACTCATGTTACTGAGGCACAAAGTCTGGTACATAGTTAAGTGCAAGGAATGGGAGGGTTACAAGAAATGTTTCAATCTAGTAAACCAACACAGCTGAGAAAAGGCTAAAGCAATAACCTTGAAAACAAGCATTAATAAGGTACTGTCACAGCACATGAAGGATAAAGTCTTTGTTTACACAGTGAGCCAAATTTTGCCTACAGCAGGCCTACCTTTCACAAGACAGTCATATACATACATGCATAGTATTTATATGCACATGTGAGAAAGCAAATACAGCTTTAACTAAAGAGAATCAAGAATTCACCCTAAATCTGCCTATTATTAAAAGTCCTATAAAAATAGAATCATAATTTATATGTTTAGTGATAAATTTGACAGTGTTAGAGTTGGGAAAACATACTCATGTTTGCTGTTGCTTTTTTTTTTTTTTAATGAACATATATATTTGCAATTATGATTATAAAAAACAACTGCCTGGATCTAGCTTTTGGTACCAGTGCTGGAATTAATAATTGCCAGATGTCCCTGAGAGAGAGAAGCAGCAACTGACCTGCCTAACAGTGATGCTGCAAGAAGAAATTCATTAATACTGTATTTGCAGAGCACTCAGATACCACAGCAAGAAGCACTACTGAAAATCCTATGAGGAAATAAATCACTCTGTATGCAGTGCAGGATCTGGCAGATGTGCAATAAAGAAAGCCTGGAGACATACATTAAATACGAGATAAAAAAAGATTCTACCCATTATCAACAGAGATAATATCCCCTGAATGAGCATCTTCTCCCTCAGGCATTAAATGTTTGATGTATTCTCATTTGATACAATGGAAAAGACTTCTTATTAACTAACATGGTAAGATTACACCAAGTACCAGTTATGTATTTCATGTAAAATATAGCATCAGATAATGTAATTAAAGTCTATCATAGATACATGTTCTGGGGTTAGTATTTCCTCATTATTGAATGTCTAATTTTGCAACTAAACAACACTCCTGCAGTGCAACGATCATTAGCAAATGTATGCTCTGTAGCACTCAGAGGTTCCTATCGCCACAGCTCAAGGTGTGTTGGCTGAGTAAATCAATTCATGCTTCACAGTGCATTTGCTGTGCTGTTCCTGGAATCAAGCTACCATTTTCTACAGTTAGCTCAAGACAGTCAGGATAGCAAAGACGTGGCAAGGAAAAGATCAAAAGTGGTGAAAAAACTTACAGGTTCAGTGCTAGCTCAGATATCTGTACAAACATGCTCACTGTTCTGTAAGTTACTCTATTTTACTCTACACCACTTCAGTTCTGCTCTTCTGTCCACGTAAACTGAGCTTTGTCTTACTCCATCAGCTCAAACCTGAAGTCAAAGTTCAATTTCCTTCTCTATCAAACAGCAGGGACAGGAAGGATGTGTAAGGAGAACTCTGGGATGCACTCCTATGATGGAAAGAGCTACTTTCTGCAGTACATCAGAAATGGGGTGAGGAGGCAAGAAGACACCACTCATATCTGTCCACAGATATGAGTGATACCCCTCCCCCCCCCTCGAAAACAACAACACCAACAACCACCACCAGAAAAATTGCATGAAGCATTATGAATGATCAAGTTTATCAAGCAATAACTTTGGCTTTTACATTGGCCACTAAAGTCAAAAGGGGCACTCTACCTGAAGATGCACAATAAGGGAGACTCCCTGGGCTAAGGAAATGCATGTGATGTTTGACTGCGCCACACTTAAAGGTTCTCAGGTACCATTTGAATAGGCACAGCCTGTGGTTGATGATACCCAAGTTAACACTCATTCTGACCTCAGAAACCAGCCTACACAGAGTAGGGGCACAGCTCATTGGTGCTGATCATGCAGACTGGTGAAAAGAAAGACAAGGCTCTTCCACAACCGATGTAATAGCAACTATATCTTGCGTTCACTAGGACAGTCTGCTAGTCCCATTCTGCTCTGCACTGCTGTGGTCTCACCTTGAGCACTGTCTGTAGTTTTAGGTGTCACAATACAAGAAGGACCGAAACCAGAAACCAGAAGGAAGAAAGGTCAGAGAGCATCCAAAAGAGGGCTACAAAGATGGTAAAGGGTCTACAGGGCAGGATGTATGAGGAGTGGCTGATGTCCCTGGGTGTCCTCAGCCCAAAGCAGAGGAACTGAGGGGAAGCCTCACCGATGGCTGCAGATCCTCACAGGGAGCAGAGGGGCAACGCTGAGCTCTGCTCTGTGTGACAGCGACAGGGCCTGAGGGAACAGCACGGAGCTGCGTCAGGGCAGGGCAATGGGGGCTGGGAACAGGTTCTGCACCAGAAGTTGGTGAGCATGGAACGGGCTGCCCAGGACAGTGGTCATGTCCCCAAGTCTGCTGGAGTTCAAGAAGCATTTGGACATCGCTCACAGAAATATGAGTGGTCCTGGTGGAACCTTTGTGGTCTGGGTGGTCCTTTGTGGAACCAGGAAAGATCCTTGTGGGTCCCTATCAACTCAGGATATTTCACAATTCTACTATGCAGAAATGGTCTGACTATTTCACACGATCTCCTTAGAAAGAAGATGACAGTTTTTGCTTACCTAGCAAGAGGAAGGCAGGCTCTGGAACGTGAGAAACTCCCAGAGCCAAACAAGCTATGTAAATGCTTTCTCTTCTCACTACTGCTTTAGCCCTGGCCACATGAATATTGCTGTTTAGGAACAACCAGCTGAGTTTATAGGTTGGTGAGGCGTGAAACAGTACTTGGACCCTCCTCTGCCCAATTCAGATAGACAATTAAGTCTGACCTTCTAATTGAAAGTGGCATGTCAAACCTAAGTTGTCTCTTAGGAATGCAGAACCAAATAAAGATTAACAAGTTCCTGGGAATAAGAAACAACAAACCAATGTAAATGTAAGGCAACAGAGCAACAGAGCTGGCAATCACTTCATCATCATTAAGAAATCTTAACAAAAATTCAAGAATTTGAAGAAATAAACTAAAACACAGAATGAGGAAAAGCATTCATACTGAAAAAAGCAAGAATTTACAATTACTGATCTTCAGAAAAGGTCAAAAGTAGAACATGGATCTAAGAGCATGGAAAAAAAACTCACAAGAATTACCACATAAAAGTTACTCTGATTCTCAGAGCAGCTCAGAGCACTCAATGATATTGATCCCTTCATTTGAATACTCTAAAATTTCCTGTCTCAGGAATCTGAATTAGTCATAAGGGAAGCTGAAACTAATAAAATAGTAAAAGCCTATGTTTTATTTGCTTACTCAGCAAGTTAACAGATCTAATTAATTCCCACAAACTGACATAAATGTTAATGACAAATGGTTTCCTTTCCTAGTTAAAGTTCTTGGAAAGGAGATTATTTATTTATTTATTTATTTTACATTTGATATTCTAAATAAATTATAACTAAAATATCAATTGTGAGGTACACCAATATAAACGTACAGGCCCTACCCTTAATTGCATTTGACTGTGCAGCTTGGGACACCAAAATCACAGGCGAATTAAATGACTTTTTTAAAGACAGTTTCATTGGTGTTGATATTAGAATAGACATCTATTTTTCAACACATCAGAAAAATATGATTCCTTATTTCACAGATGTCTGTCAAAGCTGATGTAGCCTCAGTTGTTATCAAAGAATCAGTATCACCTTTAGTCACGCAGCAAAAGTAATCGAAGTCCTGGAACAGGCAAAGTCATGAAGTGACAAGTCTCCACAATGATTACATTGAAATAACACATCAGTCTTCAAAAAACATGCCTTCAAAAAACATGCCAGTCTTGATCAAAAGGCAGTCCACTGTATGAAACAGGACTTCCACGAGTAATTTTTTGTTTTCCTTTCCCAGTCGGGAGATTATAAGGAACTTAAACAAAGATTAATTACGGTTGGAAAAGGATGTTCTTTATTCTTTGCCGTGCAATGACATGTTATGTTACGGTGCTGGCACAAGTAGTAAACACTTAACTTGATTTGTTTTTAGAATTCCCTTTCTGATCCATATATTAATGTAACCTGTCTCAAAAATGATGATTATCAGGATATATAGATTACCTATTCCTTTTAAAATTTATCCTACCATTAAAATCATACTTTTATCAGGATATTTCAATAATTAAGGTATTTTTATTCAAGAGAAATGTGTGTGAGGTTGTCAAAATTCTTAAGAGATCCTAATTTCTTCTAGCATTTCTTAAATCCTCTTCAATTTTATTATTTTTTTAGACAGTTTTACATAAAGGAAGTTTAGTCATGTAGCCTCAGTGTGTGCCTCCTCTTTGAACAGGGATTTTGAATTTCAAAACAATCCTTAGGAAAGTAGGCACACACATAACACAGAAACCGGTGGCAGTTGGCTAAATCTGACTAAAAGTATTTCCTGTGCTTCAGAATCATCAGTAACATAGGCATGTTTTAATAAATTATTTTGCTTTAAAGAGAAAACTACCTTGTGCCACAGGGTATAACAGCAATTTCTCAGGTAACACTGCCTACCATTAGTATGGCTATAGTGCATTTAAACGCCTGTGTTTAACCTTTTTAACCAGTGCAAATGGCAAATATCTACTCCAGCCACAGTAAGAGTTTCAAATTTTTTACAACTATGAATCAAAGAAAACTCCAGGCTCATAGGATAACACTGCTCAACAGTAGTTTGCAGTTCACGTCATCTGGGTCTGCATTTGAAACCAAATGAACATTACACAGCAGCCAGTGGCATAACAACACAAAGACGTTGGTCTTACCCTTGGATTTCAAGTCGTTTAATACTTTTGATTCCACAGGCAGTATGTCGCTCACTAGTTTTATCTCAATATTTCGGGATGCCAGTTCAAGCAATTTTTCAAAAAGACGTTGACCCTGGCAAGAACAGTAAAGGAAAGCAAAAGTGATGAAGCACTGAATTGTTTAAATAGCACATCATCAAATAAAAGATTCATGTCATATGCATACCTAGTACAACGGGAGTAACTTCCTAAATATGGTTAAAGCTATGCTGAAGGTTAGCAAGTTACTGTTCTGAAGGCCAATCTTGCCTTCTGCTTTTCCCAGGCTATGCAATATCACCGATGACGACAAGCAACACAGAAAGAGAAGTGCCTAATTCTTGATGCTGCATGAATGTATTTTTATATTAGGTTTCTTTTCACCAATTACTTTATGTTAAATCAGAATAAAAAGATCACGGGAAAGACTTAATCACACACTTTTGTATTGATTGAGTATTCATTGTTTTTTTGAGTGTTTCCAACTATAGTGCAAAAAACTTTTGTGTAGTCACATGTTCATATTTAGAAGAGCTATACCAGACAGAAAGACAATAATCTACATTCATTTTACGTAATTTTCCCTGTTATTATGCATTATTTTTACTATGTAAGCTCTATTTCTAAAAAAGAACACAAAAAGGGAAGCTCATACATGTTACAGAAATGAATATTAAGGCAATTAAGGCAATTGTTTCCCAAGAAAAATAAAAATCTCCAATCCAGTCATACTTTTCCATGTTCAAAAAAAAAAAAAAAAGTTCTATTTCTTCTTGCTTATGCAGAGTAAATGTTTAATTTTTAGTTTCAATATTTATTTAAAGGAAAACTCTTGGTTAGAATCATGTAGCTACATGACAAAAATAAAATATCCTATGTGCCACTATTGTGCTGTGTTGCTACGGTCACAGAGTTGGAGCTTCTTTCCTTGTTGCCATTCGAGCTTACTTCAGCAGAGACTAGTTACAATTATCAGCATCATACACAAAAAAAATTGGGTCTAATCAGTTGAAAAAGTGTCTATTCTACCTACGTAGCTCAATAAATTCAGTATAATGTTAGCACCAAGGTAAAATCTTGCACATCAAGTTTAACATTATGCCAGTTTTCAATCAAACAGGTAGAAGACAGAGTCTTGCACAGGATTGGGTTAGAGAATTTCTGTACAACACCACAAACTGTTACTCTAAAATTCTTGAAAGGATCACTCTATTCTACTGAAACAGCTGCTGCAAAAGCAGTTTCTGATGAAGGAATGTGACGTAAAATGGACTAACAAAAACTTGTTCAGAAGCCCTTTTTCCTCACCACACCACGAAACAGCAGCGAGTGGGATGCCTCTTTGCCCTGTGATGCCCAATTGAGCCTTGCTGGGATTTCAGCAGTCATAGAAAGTAGCTCTTCATTTGTCTACAGTACAGACATTTCCTAAGATTCACTTCCAAATGTATATGGCAAAATAAAAATACCCAGCTGCCTGAAAACTAGCTTTCCCAAAATTACAGAGCAGCCAGAGGCTGCAATGGAAACACAGATCTGCTGTTAGTGCCTGTCTGATGGCTCATATCCACAGCATAGCTCCCTGCTCATCCCAGGGCTTCCAGGCATTTAGCAGTCAACAAGACGCTGCAGCAATGAAAGCAAGAGAACATAACAATAAAAGCATGCTCTACATGAAGATCCGAATACTTATTAGACTCAGCACTTTTGAGATGACTAGGTGTTCTCGTTTGGAAGAAATAGCACCCACAGTTTATCTCACAAGCCTAAAAGCCTTTGTTGAGCTGCTATGCAAATCAGACATTCCCATTAGTCACAAAGCTAAAAAGATCTTTCTCATCTTTTTAGTTTAATTTATTCGTGAAGGATGTTAGTTGGAAGGATTTGTTTATTAAAGAAGGCAGATGTTACCAGAGTTAAGAATTAAAGAGATAACAGTGTGCAGGGGCTGGGTGCTGCATACAGAATTATGTAGCAGCTCCAATGAAACCCTTGGGCAGCAGCACATCGCTACTGAGCAGCATTCCTTGGTGCCCTGGGTCCCCCAGAAGGTCTCTCCTGTAATTGCTGCAGACTAGTGCTGCTAGACTGCAATCAAATTTGGGGCCCACAATGAACTGCACTGTTTCCAGCCCGTACCTTGACCTGTTTTACCTGATCTTAGCATTTGCTGATCTGTCCAATGCACCCTGCCTATCTCTTACAGGCTACTCTGACAGTTGAGTGGCCCACCCAAGGGGTGAATACATCATTTGGAGTGATCCAATTAAGACATCTTCTCTGAAAATACATCTGTTTTCCCATCAGGAACATCAGAAGCTATGTGTCTATCATGTCCTTTTTTGTCCAGATATGTTCATACATAGTGAAACTTCAAATTGATAAAAACATATAAACATCTCTAGCAATTGTTACACAACCATAAAGTGTGGCTGGCTAAGGCTAGGACTGAACTAACTACAAACATCTGTATTTACACACAAATACAAAAAAATATCATCCAGCATCAGAACTGGAAATAAGTCCTTCTGTCACATCTCTTGCTACATAATTTCTCACCAGATATTAGTACTCTCACCAAGGCCTAAGTCTTGGCATTCTAAACAACTATGAGAAAGACACAAGTTGTTTTTTTAAAAACTATATGTATTCTAGTAAAGTAGGATATAAGAAAGTATTTCTCATTGTTGAAGTACCTGGCCTTCTTTTCCCATTAATATTAATTTGAAACTCGGTTTCTATACTTTCTGACATGTTCACTTGCAATTTTACTGTTTTGTTCTATGAAAAAGAAAAGAGACAGGACTGAAGGTCTGAAGATTTTTGTCACTGCTGTCAGCACATTTGAAATGCTTCTGTTAAATACAAACCCTCATACTGTCATACAGACCACACTTTCAATACGGGGCTGCTGTGCCACTACATGACAGCAATCTGAATCACTCTTATACAGTTAGATTGTGAGGACTGAGAAATAGTAACAAGCCAAGTGCCATGGAAATGCAACACACTTCCTATCACTCTATTTGCATTTTAGCAGACAACATTAAGAAAACAGCTCTCCTGGTAAAATATTATCTTACATTTTCACAACACTGCATCAGAAAATCTACTGAAAAAGACAAAATAAGTTGTAAAAAGTATATATCAAATGAACAAACAGCTTTAGGCTACCATCCATCTCAAACATCAATCCCAACTATCCATGCCGCAGCAAGCTGGTGAATGAAATAAAAAAAAAAAAGTTACAGCTACCAAAAAGCTCCGAAATTCCCCACAAAGAAGTTTCTTAACTCTTCCTAGGCAGACTGATTCCAGCCTGATGATTTCCTTTGCTTACTGTTACCTTTGTCGGCCTGCATTCCTCATTAAATAAGACAGGGAAGATAAAAACCACAAAGTGCATTTACTGAAGTTTTCTAAAAGTGAATTACTGTTCCTTCAAAAGCTTAGATATCTACAATTTAGACAATGCTTAACTTTTTATTTCAACAGAAATAAAACCATTTACTTCCAGAATTTTCTTCTGAATTTATTCTACTTACAGTTTTAAAAAGTTGCCCTACCATCAGTTGTTAAGGTGATCTGCAAAACATCACTGACAAGCACAGCATGCTGGCAGAAACCAATATGGTAAGAAAATAACCCTAAATTTAACTTCTGCTACTTAATGCAAAATAGAGAAACTCAAAATGCTCTCCTCGTGTTTTTCTAGCAAAATAGCCAGTGCAGACTCCAACCAACTTTTAGAAGTTCAGAGTCCAAAAAAATGCTTTCACTATAAAAACTTTCTCTTTTTTATTTCTGTGTCTCATTTTGTATCAGCAGTATCAGGGAAATGCCACCATCTGGCAGGGAGAGATGGTTTTGGAAGTATTAGCGTACAGAAAGAAAATACACTGAAATTTCTGTAGCTGGCTGTAGCCAATTTCTGCTGGCAGCTGCTAGGTTTACAGATGTTCTCATCCTCTTTGTACTTATTAATGTTTTTTAATAATTGTAAAGGACGGATAACTAATCTCTGGCACTAACATTTGTTCTATCAAACAAATCACGTAAGACTCTTGTGTGACACCTGTCTGCAAATGACATACGGCTCACCTTCAGAGATTTCATTACCAAGCTGGACAGATGACTTAAATATAAGATATTCAGGTGGAGTGGGAGACCTCTCCCATCAAGCTATCCGAGAACAGCACAACAGGTAGGGAAATAGAGATGAAGTCAGAACCACGTGGTTTCTGTATGGTCATTGTAAAAGCCAGACCACTGATCATCTTAGAATACTCCAAATATCCATCCAGGGAGACATGTGCCATACTTATGGCAATATCAATATACCAAAATAGAATTGATGCTTACTTGTTAAAATGAAATTTGCGAGGAAAGACTTACTGAAACTATGTAAGGTCACAGTAAATTAATGTTTCTAAATGTTAGAAGACTCAGAGGAAACCAACTGTGAAAACAACTAACTGTGAATATAAAATTGCAGAATTTACTGCTCTTTTTCTTCAAGATGTGTTTTGAACTTGTATGTACATATACACATAGATTCACGCGTGCCCATAAATACACATACACAAAGAACATGGCTAGTTCCTGCAGTTAAGGAAAGGCAATCTAGCCTACTCAGCTATTGTCCTCCAAAAATCAATGTCTTTTAAACTGGTCATGCAAAGAAACTTGCTTTGTAATACATCTTACCATTCACAAAATGAAAACTGTAATACAGCAGCACGTGAGTCCCTAAAGAAAATCGTTATGTTCTCAGTTTCTGATAAAAGCAGCATCATTTAGTGAACAACTAAAACTTCCTCAACTATAACCACTGCAGTACCTAGAAGTTTTGCAGCAGTCCCTGCATAATATTTCTGTTATGCGAGGATAAATTTCCCCAAATCCAAATTTGTAAAGACCCGAGGACATCTGACTCTTGAACATTACCGGATTACAATTACTGAAGCTTCACTGTCATTTCTCTTTCATCTTACGACCTTAAAAAGCAGATGCAATGATACAGATTTCCTTCCCTATTTTTCACTCACTAAGCTTTCTACACACTCTCTAGGGCAGCAATTTGCTAAGAATCCCTGCCTCTTTGTCAATTTCTTCAGCAATTAGATTGGCCAATAGCAGCACAGTGTTTAAGGATGAATAGACAAGCTTGACAGAAAAATCTATCAGCTGTTCAGCCCACACTGCTGTACAATTGAGGGAATGACTGGAATATTAATCATATTTTAAACAGAAGTAATTACTTTTGTAAGGCTACTATGTATTCTAAATAGAAAACTAAAATAGAATATTACTAAAAAATACGCTACATTTTTTTATGGCTTAAACAGTGCATTTAAGGATGAAGAAGCAAATCCACTTTTGTGTCTCTCTTCTTCCTTTTTCCTGTTCTGACACTCAGCAACATCTTACAATTCTTTGCATGAAAATATGGAACAGTGAATGGAATTGATGCCCAACTACTGAAATCCCAATTTCCAGTTTGCTATTTTTATTCTCTGCTTGGGATTTGTTAGGCTCTGCTGGTTTTGAAGTGAATGACACGTTGAATTTTTTCAGACAAAAATTTTTTAAAAGATTCATGCACATACCAATTCATGCACATCTTGAAAACATCTAAGGCATTCTCTGTGAATTCGTCTGCTTGAATGACAGAACATGGGTTTGAAGTTTCTTAGGCAATGAATTTAAATAAAGCTTAGCTACATAATTACATTGTGAAAAGCCTCAATATTTTGATATTCAATGAATTTATTCAAGAACTCTACACCAATATTTATAAGCATTATAAAAGGAAGGGTTTGTGCTAAATTTTCCATTTGAATGCTCAGCTCAAGCTTTCACTCGTTTAAATGGACATAGAGTAGATTTTGAAGAAAGTGAATGTATGCCCTTCAGCTCGGCAACAGCCTCTCTAAAAAGAAGTACCATTCAGTTCACCATCTGAAAACACAGGCAGTTTGAAGCACCATCTTTGGTTGCTGACAATACCAGTCACTGTCCACCATTTAGCATAAGGCATTTTTTTTACTGCACAGTATCATCCAAACTAGAGAGGAAAGTGAAAAGTTTGTGACATAGTATAGTATTGTGGATTCCTTATGTTTACTCTACTGTGATTTTAACTGAATTCCATTCCAGCTGAGTGGCTTTTTCCAGCAAACAATCCATTAAGAAAAAAGATACTCTCAGCTCATCATTTCTTCGATATCTTAGTTTGACAGGGTAACACTAAGTGGAGATCTGCCCTTTCCCCATTTTCTAAGGTGACTGCTATCAAGAATAATATATTTGTTGGCACAGCATCACTTTAATGCATATTTGTCTCATTTGGTGATTTATGATTTTTCCTACTGTACTTTATTGCACAAGCCCTAACTCATTACCCTTCAGATTCATTTTGAAAAGATATTAAGAATCATCTGATACATTTGCTATCAGATAATTTGTAAGTGTAATTTTACACATCAATTTGGCTGCAGAACTAATCCACATAATTACTCTTTTACTTGATCATTTGCACCAAATAGAAAATAAGTATATAGTTTTATGGATATTCCAAATTTATGATGTGTTTGAGTAGTTACAATTTTGCAAGTTTCTTAAGATTATACAATGATATCCTTTCCTAAGATGGAAGCGATATGAATGTGTTGAGTGTGTTCCCTAGTCCACTGTGCCACCACTCTCATAAAACTAATATCCTGACAGGACAATCCTCATACGAAAATGTTTGTCTGCTTTTAAACTACCCAAACAAATAGGTTTGCTACAGAGAAGGGCTGCAGCTCTAAACAATTCACAAACAACAAAAACAGATTGTTAAAGTCCCATCTTTCTTTAGTCTAGAACATACCTGGCATGCTGATGGATGACTGTGATTGAGGTCCCACTGGGAAGATACTATGTCAACAGACTTTTCAGCCATATTAAGCAAATTCATCCAGCCTTGGAAAAGAGACAAGTGGGATGGTGCACTGTCTGAATAGTTGATCCCTTCAGGAATATTTTCCACAAGAGCAACCCTGAGAATAGATAAGGAAAAAGTAACCACTTAACATGAGCGCTTTTCTTTATAAAAAAATCTCCAATTGTAAAAAAATGCCAGGTTTGGGCCTGTGGTTCAATACCAGTTCCCAGAATCTCTCAGCAGTCAGTTATCCTACAACTCATTCTGAAGTTGCCAACTGCCATGCTCTTCACTTCCCAAAACAATAAAACATGGAGATGACCTAATGCTAAGGCAATAAAGCAATTTAAGCTTTTAAAGCCCTGAAACATCAGCTTAAACACAGAAAAGCTTAATTCTTATGACATGATGGAACCAGTCCATAAGGAGAAGATGGGAAGCATAAAGAATCTCTTAATTTTTTGCAATGCTTCATCCTTGCATTTAATGTCTCTTTTCTCTAAGCAATGTGGTAATGTGCATACTCTCTGATATTTATTACTTTGCTTTACAGCTGACATTTTGTTATTAAGAAAAAAAGTGTCTACATAGGAATTTTCCCTTTCCAGTTACTCTAAGCTGCCTAGTTGTGCTGTTGTTTTTCTGTTTGTTTTACCGACATAGGGCTTTGACTGGGATCCCGTGGATAAGGAAAGGAGAATGATTATGCTTCTTTTTTTTTTTTTTTTTTTTTTAATTTTCCTGTTCTTTTTGAAAGACTCTTTACGGTCAATATTATTCAGAATGCTTGCAGGTTACACACATTCATATGCATCCAAGAGGCTAAACAAACTTCATAGTAAACTGACAGTTTCAAATATGCCTCTCTATTTCAAGGAAATTTTGTTTCATTCAGCATGCTTGACTTCCTTAAATTACAGCAGGTAAGGCTCCTCACTTCACTCAATAGAAGAACATTGAAAGTAATCACAAGTGAGAAGTGTGTCTTTAGGTAAACAGATGAAATTATCAACTTACACAAGTTGCACTTCTTAAAGTGCCTCTTCTAATGCAACTCAAACAAATTAGATTTAGGAAAGCTGTAACAAGGGCTCCGTTTCATTGCAATCAAGTATAACAAGTATTTCCAAGACTGTTTCTATACTACTTCTTATCATAATTATCAACTCTGGCAATATAAATAAAATTTTCAATGTTTTTTTTTGTTAGTAAATAATCAATATAGATATCTAATATGGAAGGGAAGTGGGCACTTTCTGCCCATGAAAATAAAGAATAGTTCTGTATCTTCTATTACTGAAATTCATCCCACACTGTTACATGGGAAATTTTACAGCTATTTCAGAAAATCTAACATGTTTGTGAAGCTAAGACATAAGAAGACTGAAGTTTAGTACTCTTTAATACTAGGGGGAAGGATGGGTGAAGTATTGTGAGAATGTGGTTATTATCACATGCTTGTTTTTCCTGCCTGGCAAAAACAAGCCAACACCAAACTAACAAAAAAACAGGTGCAGCTTTTCCTTTCATTAGCTTCAAATGTTCTCTTATCCATCAAACAACTCAAACATACATATTACTGAACTACAATTACTGACGAGACACTCCACAACATAGTTGAACATACAACATTACTGATGATAAACATTAAATTTAACAGCATTACAGTAACATAATGGTAACATCAACAAATTAACGGTAAGAGGTTAAAAATACAACATGCTTTTTAATGTCTTCAAGTATACTCTATTCTAAAATATTCTAACTTCCCCTTTCATAAACTTCCAGAACCACTGTCCTCTAAAAATAAACTACCCTTTTGTGCCTATTAGCAATGCTATACTTTAAAAAACAAACTATTTTAGACCAACACCCAAGGTTTATACATACATTTCTGCTGCATCTAATGTTCTTACAGAACTTATTAAAACTTTATATGGATCCCTTAGAAATCTAGTTTGCCTCTTTTGGAATAGTTAGCATTGCTAAAGTTAACACTGCTAAAAGCCCCAATAAAATTAAAAGCTTTCAGAGTCCCAGAGCTCTTCTAGTACAACAAAGATACTCATCTACTATCTAAAGAGAGAGAAATAAGGGCACAGGAGCTAAAATGATTTCTATAAGGGCATTATAAAGAAAAACCAACAACAATCGAGTAGCAAAGATGCTAAATTAATCCATGTCCTTTAGGGCCTCTTCCATTGTCCACCCAATCACACACGAATACAAGAAAAAATTACTTTAAATTTTCTCCAAAGACATTTTACATATCAAGTGATTATTCCAAAAATAATCCATCAAATTTTGTTCTGATTTAGCAAAAATTTAAAAGTGCACATCATTTCTTAATAAAAGATCTGACCAAAATTTCTCAGCATTGCCTGACACTCACAGTGATTTATGTAAGCAAATAGACAAGAATCCACAAAATATCTAACAGGATCAAATAAGTCCTATGAGATATTCCTATTTGATTCCTTGATAAGAATCAAATAAGATCACTTCCAGTGACTTGCAGAGGTATTTCCTATAGACTGTACTGGCATGCTGCCTCACTGCAGAGCATTCAATTCTCCCCATCTTTGTCGATTTGCAATTTGACAAAAAAGGTAAGACTGTTACAGAATCACAGGGAATCATCTCGTTCATCCCTCAAAGCTGGGTCAACTTCAGCAGGTTGTCCAGGCAGGTTTTGAATAGTTTAAGTATTTCCAAGATCAAGAAACTTAGCGTTATTTTCGAGATTAGGCCCATATTCTGCCATATTGACTTGACCTCATTAGGTGTGAAATAAGAGAAAACACTACAGTATGATGTGTATACATTCTATAGCCAGGTTCCACAAGCAGCTGGTAGCAATTCCACAGAATGTAATATAAATATTGCTGTGGATGTCAGCCTCTTCTTTACATACACATTTGAGTACTGATACCATGAAGATATGAAAAAAAGTTGAGCTTTTTCTCTCACTGCACAGGTTAAAACCATTTACCTATTCATAGAAAGCACTATGACAAATTTGCTAGGCAGAAGGAAACTCATCCTTTTCTTCAAAGGGCCTCTGTCTGATGCTAGGTGCTTGCTTCTTGGGAAATAGCTTGCCTTGACTTTTGGACTGGATTTGCTCTTCAGAAAGAGATCAGCTTCCAGTTTTTCAGTCTGCAATTCAACACACTGCAGCACTAGGACCAGCTGAGGGACTTGGCTGTGTGGGTCTTGTCATTCAGTTCAGTATCTGTTCCTATACTTCATAATCTGTCTTTTTAAGTAAGTTAAAAGTACTTTGTGTTCTTTGGCAGACAAAAGATTTAATCTATCTAGGGCAATAGTTAAAATGTTGTCCTCAGAGTTCAGACACTTCCTTTTGATAATGAACTGATTATACTAAACAAAAAAAAAAACAACACAAAAACCAACAACCCAACCTGTAACCAAATAACCACAACACATCCCGGTGCCCATTCAAAAAATTCAACACCAAGCTCAAAAGTAAACAAAAAAAAAAAAAAAAAAAAAAAAAAGAAAAAAGAAACAATTGAACAAAAAAATAAACAAGTAAACCACCAACCCACTTTGTAAAGTTATATTTGTCTTCACAATCTTCCCTTCTCCTTAGGCACAGCAGCAAAGTTCCTGTGCTTAGTCAAGAAGAGTTTTATTTAACTTCCATCATATGAATTTGAGTTCAAAATCTCCAATTCCATCAATAAAAACTGAACTTAGATCTATTTTGTTCCAGTATGACCCACAAAGTGCTTTTTGGAATGTATAACAAAGATTTCCAAGAGAGAAGGTCATTTGCAGCCCTCAAGGAACATCAAACCTGGTGACATCATTTAGTCCGCAAAAGTGGCATATTGTCAAAGCAAAACAGAACAAACGTAGCATGGTGATTAAAATAGACTTTACTATGCACAAAAGTCATTAGCAGACAATCTTACACCTGCTAGATATCTTTCTTACTTGCAGGATATCTTTCCCTGACTTCTTGGTGCTTTATTTATTTCAGCTGACTAATGCCAACGTAACCTAGTCTCTTCAGTAATACAGCTGAATGTTCTCAAAACGACTTCTAGCTGACTGAGAAACCTGAATGTATATGATTTCTGTGATGTCATGGAGAGAAGGGTCAGAGCTGAGATTCAGACTCCTCTAAGTGAACAGAAATGTGGGAATTGGTATAGTAGTATTTAATGCCTACAAAGAAGCAGAACTTGACCTCTATAATAAGTCACTTCTGAGTTCTGCTACATGACTCACATTTAGAAATTAAAACTGAATTCTGTCCCATGCTGAGGATTCTCCTTTTCCTCTGACAATCCGTAGGTCAGAAAACAAGATTCATTTCTGATCTCATATCTTATTTTCTTCTTTTCAAAAGGAAATGGTTTAGGATCTGAGTTAATTAGAGTAGAAAGAGCACCAGCACAGCAAAAATAGGCAGAAGCTATATGCTTGCTGCTTCAATAGGTTTAGTATATTAACAAATATTTATAGTTTTACTTAAAATGAGCTCCAGTTAGTCTCTATCTAGAGTCATACAGAAGAGAACATCCATGTCTAAAGCACCTGAGTGACAGCTGAATTTACACATTAAAGGAAAGAAGTTTAAAAACACTCTCAACTATTTATATGAGATAACAAAGAAATGAAAGATAGAGCATGTTGTTGTCTGAAGGCTTCTATAACTGAGACGGGAAAAGAATAAAATAAACAAAATAAAGGAAAGGAGAATGAGTCATGCCCTTAAATCAAGGACCTAGGTAAACATATCCACATGTAACCCCTATTGCTCTCTTAATCCAGAAGCTCCAGAACCAACAAATCCTCCCTGGAGGACCAAAACTCCTCACAGAATTTCAGCTCCCCTTAGGTTATACCTCTTCAGTCTTAATATCCATTCAAAACCCACCATCTTTCTGACACCACTCCTTTCAGCTGAGGTTTCACTAGATCACCTTCATGCAATCTACTGTACATTGAATCAACCCTGTCACAGTTCTTCCTCATAGCTACTCAGCTGTAACATTGGTCAAGACCATCTTTCTTCTCTTCAGCTCAACAGAAGAACAGCTGCAGTTCTTATTTCTGGAAGGGAATAAGAAATATCCTAGA